GGCTTGCCTTCCTCGATAATTGTTGTTTTCTGTCATTGCCTTCGCGATCCTTTGTGATCCCGTCGTTGCCTTCCCAGCTAGCTCTAATGGTGACTGGCGAAGGTTTGTTCACGAAAGCGATCGTTTTGGGCGAAACAGGGAGGGATCGTGAGGTTCATTCTCGAAGGAGATCGTTTTGGGCGAAACCAGGAGGGATCGCGAGGTTCGTTCACGAAGGAGATTGTTTTTGGTGAAACCGGGAGGGGGAGTGACAAGCGAGGTTCGTTCATGAAGGCCCTCCAAAGCCAATCCGTTCTCTCCGTTGAGACAAGCGGCGCTCTAGCGAGCCTAATCTCCGATTCCGTCCTCTCCTCCCCGCCGAGAAAGGGTTGGATCAGGACGATACCTAATACTTTCACCTGTAGCATTATGGGGGCTGAGTTAAATTAATTTATCATAATTTTTTAGGGATCTATAATTAATTATATCAAAATTTTAATTATAATTAATTTGAGAATCTATAATTAATTTATATATCATCAATTTAATTATAATAGATATATATTATAATTTATATATCTTCATTAATGTAATTAATAATTGATTAATCAAAATTTATTAGCTAATAAGTTAATAATTTATAAAACAAATAAATGATTACTTGTTACAAACAGTTTCAACAAACAGTGGCAGAATGATCAATTCTCCAGCAACAACTATCAATAAGCTATTCTAAATAAGCTCCCCCAAACAACAAACCAAATTATCAGAATAATCTGCAGATTATCAAATTATCAGAATAATTTGCTTATCAGCAGATTATAAATAATCAACAGCTGCGCCAAACAGACCCTAATTCTCTATGTTGGAATGTGAGGGGTATTGCTCACCCTCAATCCCTTCACAGACTCCTTCATTTGATCACTATACATAAGCTTTGGTGTTTTGCTCTAAAAAATGTTCATTCTATTACAAAAAAATTTCATGGGTTTTAGACTTTTGTTAATATTAGCTAGAAGATATGGATTCTTTGCAGGAAAGAAGTCAGTTGGTCTATTTTGATAGATCATCCACAGCTTGTCCATCTACAGGTGCAAATTGGAGATTTGGTTTGTTTTGCTACCATTATATATGCTGATAGCACTATTGCTGCTCAATCTTACCTATGGGATCAACTCATTTCAATTAGCAACTCCTTGACGGGTAATTTGATTGTGGGTGGTGACTTTAACTGTGTTGCTTTACCTACTGAAAAATCTAGAGGTAGATCTATCAACATCCATAGAATTACCCAATTCAATGATTCAATTCAAGAAGCTGGGTTGCATGACCATGGTTTCCAAGGCCCTAAATTTACTTGGAGAAGAGACAAACTTTGGGAAAGATTGGATTGTTTTTTAGCCCATGATCAATGGTTATAGAATCTGTTACATACTTCTAGCACACCCCTATCCATGTTTGGGTTAGATCATAGACCTTTATTGATTTCCATTAATAATCATCTTCATCAGGCAGCTACATTTTTCAGATTTATGAATGTGTAAACCTCACATGCTAATTTTTTGGGGGTGGTCTCTAGAGACTGGAATGCTATTTCTAATACAAATTTCTGGTTAAAGCTGTGGAGTTTGTAGAAAAATATTGGGTATCAATTGAAGAAATTAAACTGGTTACATTTTTTAAATGTTTTCAAAAAGGTTCAAGTTGCTGAAAATGAAGTTAAGAAAATGGAGAAAGATTTTGAAGTTGGTTTAATTCAAGAACAATCCCTTTATATGGCTAATGAGCAGTTACTTTCAGGCATTGTCGCTCAAGAACTCTTTTTAAAACAAAAAGCTACTTTGTCTAAATTTGTGGAGGGGGATAGAAACACTAAGTATTATCATGCTTGGATCAATTACAGGAGGAGATACAATACTATTTTTAAAATTCAGAATGCTAATGGGGAGTGGCTTCATGATACTTCTAAAATTGTTGAAGATGCGGTAAACTATTTTCAGACCCTCCTTACACATCCGAATACTTCCAGATCACCAATTTTGTATAATCTTTTCAGTAAGGAGTATGCTTACACTAATCAACTTCACCTTACTTCTATCCCAGAGGAACCATAAATTTGGCAAGCAATCAATTCCATTGACTATAATAGAACTGCTGACCCAGATGGCTTTACATCAAAATTCTATAAGAAGACTTGGTCCTTAAGTATGATGTTGTGCCTGTTGTTCAGGACTTCTTAAGAGGTGTAGACCCTCCTACTTATTTCATTTCTTCAGCTATGGTTCTGATCCCAAAGGAGTCTAATAGATATAATTGGGAATGTTATAGACCTATTAGTTTGACTAATGTTTTAAGCAAGGTTACTAGTAAAATTATAATGTATAGACTCCAATCACATCTTCTTCTCTTGATCAGTGAGAATCAATCTGCTTTTGTGCAAGAGGGGAACATTGCTGATAATGTGTTGCTTGCCTAGGAACTTCTCTTGGATTTGGAAAAAAAGTGCAGAGGGGGAAATGTATTCTTTAAATTAGATTTGAAGAAGGCCTATGATACAATTAGATAGGATTTCATTGCTGATGTTCTCCAGTCCAGGTGCTTTTCTGAGGAGTTCATCAATTTGATCATGAGATGGCTTAACAATAACATGCCTTATGGCTTCATCAAAGCTACCAAGGGGCTTAAACAAGTGGACCCTTTCTCTCATACCTTATTCATTCTTGCATTTGATTATTTTTCTAGGATGCTCAATTCTAAATTTGCTCAATCTCCTCATATGCAGTTCAACTATAGGTCTAACTTATACATCTCCCATCTAGCATATGCTGATGATGTGATTATTTTTTCTAAAGCTACTAAATCTGCTGTCAAACTTCTTTCTAAGTGTTTCCAGAACTTTCAAGACACTTTTGGGCTCTCCTTCAACAATCCTAAATGCCTTATTTTTTACGGCAGTAATGTTAAAGCTGATATTGGACATTGGGTTGCTGACTTTACCAACTTCAGAGTTAGTTCACTGCCTTTGAAGTATTTGGGGGTCCAACTTCTAAAAGGCAGAACAAAACAAATTCAATATGAGGGCATCTTCATTAAAATACAAGATCAACTCAATTGTTGGACTTCTTCCTTTCTTTCCAATGGCGGCATAATTACTTTACTCAAAAGCATTTTAACTTCCTTTCCATCTTATGATTGTAATGAAAAAGAGTACCCAAAGGTTATTGGAAAGGAGTTTCAATAGGTTCCTATGGGCTGGACAAAAGAAAAAAAAATGCACTGGGTTTGTTGGCAAAAGGTCTGCAAACCTGTTTCAGCTGGTGGTTTGGGCTTCAAGGGTTTAATTCACATTTGCTAGGTGAATCTTTGCAAACTGTGGATCAAATTTAGATAGCAGGGCTCTTGTGGGCTAAATTTTTTATGGGAAAATACTGTAAAGGAGCTCACCCTTCTCTGATTACCAGGAAATTAGGAGATTCTAAAATTTGGGTGGATTTACTAAAGGTTAAAGCTCATACTGAAGATCTTTTTATTTGGGAGCTAGGCACAGGTCAAGTAAATTTCTGGTTGGACAATTGGTCTATGAAGGTAAACATATTCACAAAGTTCCAAAGCATGCCAATCCAAATTCTAAAGTTGCTGATTTCTAGTGTGATAATGAATGGAATGCTCCTTTGCTTTCTAATGCCCTTCCCCCTGGCATTATTCAAGAAATTATGAAGAATCCTTTTGATACTACTACTAAAGATAAAATCATTGTTAAGAAGTCTTGTTCTCAATCCATTTCTTCCTTTATTTTATGCCTCTTTGCAAGGATGGACCAATTTGAATAGGGGAAATTCTCTTTGGAACAAATTCTTCAACCCCTCCATATCCTTCTTTCTTTGGAGGCTGTTTTTAAAATGTCTTCCAACTGATGACATCCTTAAACTTAAGGGGTTGAGGGGCCCCTCTTGGTGCAATTTCTGCAAGGTGGAGTCTTTGGACCATTTATTCTTCAAATGTTCTAATGTTCAAAAGGTTTGGAATGCTGTTATTACACAACTATCTATCTCCACCCTTAATCTCTTCTGGTTCTCTTTTGAGGTCTGCTGGTCAGGTTGGCAAGTTTCTTACCTCTCCACTGCCCCAGGGGTAATTGCTTGGTTCATATGGTGTGCCAGGAATAAATCCAGATATGAGGAAATGTGTATCTCCTTTTCCCAGGAAGTGAGTAATTGCTCGAGTTTCTTCTTGAAACTAATCCAGCACAAGGGGTTCCCTAATATCTATTCTCAATTGGGGCAAGTGGTTGTCTCTAGTGCTAGAATCCATCTTTTTACTGTGCTTTGTGTTAAACCTTTACACCCATGGGTTAAGGTTAATACTGATGGAAGTTTCAGTTATGATGAGGCTGGAATTGAGGGTGTTTTCAGAGACCATTTGGGAAGTTGCTTTCTTCACTTCTTCTCTCCCATGGTTGCTCATAATGCCTTAGAAACTGAGTCTGTGGCTATTTTTTGGGCTCTTTAGATCTCCCATAAATGTAGTCGGAACTACATCCATGTTGAATCTGATTAAGTGCTTTTGGTGCAGATCTTGTTAGAGAAGGTTTCTCCTTTTTGGCACATTGCTCATTGGATACACAGAATTAACAGTTTAGGTGGACAAATTTCTACAAGATTTTCATTTATGCATAGGGAGGGCAATAGGCCTGCAAACTGGCTTGCTACATTTAGTAAATGTAATCATGTAACAGATTTGTCTAGATCTCCCTCCTCACCCCTCTCTCTTTTGTTGTTTGAGGATAGCTTAAATATCCTTTACCTTAGAACTTGTAATTCCTTTTAGTGCAATGAGTTGCTACTTGAGTAGACCTAATGATTTGGGTCTACTTAGGTAGTTTTTGGGGGAAAATAAAAATAAAAATAATATATATATATATATTGACTAGAAATAAATGCTGCTGCATTATGGTTTCTATTTGTAAGTTCTAAAATTGGTTTAGCAAATAATATGGAATGGTTGTTTCATGTTGGGTACAGGTACTATTTGAGGTTTATCGATCCAAATAACTCGACGGCATTGGTTGACAGGTCTAAGGAAAGGTATGCCACATTTCACTTTGCTATGCTATAGTAACATAGGGTTTAGGGGGTTGCTTTGATACAACTCTTATAATTCTTTTATTTTTCAGATACTGGGGCCCTGTGGATATTTATGTCGGTGGCGCTGAGCATTCTGTTCTCCACTTGCTTTATGCTAGGTTTTGGCACAAGGTTTTTATTTTACACTTTTAGCTTCCCTTTCCACTTGCTTTATGCTAGGTTTTTGGCACTAGATTTTTTTTTCAACACTTTAATGTCATTTCATGGTAGTTAGGTGTTTTATAAGATATTTATCTTTTATCATAAAAAAAATGGTACAACTTCTTGGAATATTGATTCTAATATATGATTCGCCCTGAACTCTAAATATTTTCCCTCTATTAAAGAGAAATTTTATTGACAGTCATACTTCACTTTTTGGTGAGAAAGTATATGATGCAGTGCATTGTACACAGCATTATCACTGCCTGTAATAATGTATCTATCACAAAGAGCCTTAATCTTATGTACCAAGGATATGACTGGGTATATTTTATTTCTTATGTGTGTTTCTTTTCCTAGTGTTTTTGATCTTTGTAGTCTTTTAGTTTTGTCATTTGGACTTATTGGGCAGATTATTTGTATTTCAACCTTGTGTTGTGCTCCAAGTTGAACTAATAGAAGCTCTATGGGCTCACCATGCCATACATAAAATGAAAAGCATGCCACTCTTTAAGTGCTTGTATTTTGAGATTGAACTACCTTCACTTTGTAATGCCATCCAATCTGAACTCATACAAGAAGAGACACAACTCGAGTAAATTGAAGCCCTACATAAATTTATACTTAGGCCCAACACAAAAGCTTACAAGCCAGTGATGACCAGATAACATAACTGTATGGTCTGTCTTCGAAGCTTCAAGTTGGGCACACTAGTTTTTTTTTTGTTGGCCCAAATGTAAAGTTTCATATCAGGTGCTTATGAACTTAAGCTTGAGCCAGCCTAATCACCTTACCCATTTCCCTAAGCAAATGGTCATATTTTGTCTCTTTTGACACCCACTTTTCTGTCCCCTCACTCATATTGATTATTAGCTTTCAAATCAATGTATATTAACGAGCTCTACATAAAATCTCACCGAGGGTCTATTTGGCGTGGCTGCTGAAGTTCAGCTCGGTGAGGAATTGCAGGCTTGCATCGTTTGGGGCGACAGCGGCACCGCGTCGCGGCGGGATTTTCCGTGCTTTAATGAAAATGCAGACCATGGGTTCGACCCCACTACTAGTGTTTCTTCACTATATTTTTACTAGGGTGCCCTTCGCGTCTTTTGCCCTAACCAGCTCTCCTCTCGTGTTTTGTCCCGTGCCCCCGCTCTTCTCGTCTCGGATTTTCTCGGTTATTCTCATGTATTCTGCATTTACTCAGTAATTCTCCTCTTCTTTCTCTTCCTTCCCTGACACCTGTGATAAGGGTTTTCATACTGTTTGCTTCTTCTTCCGGTATCCTTTTTCTATTATCTTATTTTGGCGGATTGCTTTGTTAGTAGTATTGTTTGTTTGCTTTTTCTTCAGTTTTCTTGGTGGATTTGCTTGATGGTTTTCGGCTATGTGGATTTTCTTGGTGGATTGCAATGTTAGCCGTAATGACCTCATGCATATTTTTGCGATACTTTGGTGTTGTAAGTGTAATTTGTGCTAGTTTGAATTCGTTGTCAATTCATGTTAGTTGAAATATGTAAATGAAAAAGCATGCAAGATAGTCATCCTCTATCAATTGAGGTTAGAGAAAAGTGTATCATTTTTACTTGCAGATGTTTGAAGAAAGCATATTTGGAAAAAAATATTACATCTCTTCATGAGAAGGTTTTAAATATGTGGCAAGAGTTTTTTTTTGTACATTTATTGATCAATCTACCATATAAATAATTATACAGAAGAAGTAGAATTGTGAAGGTTGGTTTCATTTCAAACTGAGACAAGTTAACTCTTTCATTTCAGGGGAAAATTTAATAAGACTATTATCTTATTTTAAGAGATCTATATCTTATTTTTCATGCTATTATGATGTTGATTTTTGTTTTTTAATTATCAAATATTACCATGATAGTTTTGTTGCAAATAGTATTACCGCACAATGGCAGAATGGTCATTTGTCCAGAAACAACAGCAAAACAACTATTTTTCAACAGTACAAGCCAAACAACCAGCTAGTTTATTCTCATCAGCTGCTTATCAGCAGGTTCCTAGGGCAGCTGCTTATCAACAGCTTATTAATAAGTTACAATTGCCCCAAACAGACCTCTAATGTACTTTGACACCAGAAGGGATGCTTTAGAACTCAATCCTTCATTTTTTTAGGCCAAGAATTTACACTTTCTCCACTTTCTTCTTTTGGTTTGGTCTTTGCTTGAATGCTGAATAAATTGCCGTGCTTAGAATGAAAATGATGGTGACCTTGGAATGAATTTGCTTTCAAGTTCTCTCAACGTTTATTCTCTGTGTGCTTTCGTGTCCAAGTGAAGGACTGCTTATGATTATAGTGTGTGTGGCCTTCAAATGACTTTCGAGGAAGAACGATTCAATCTACAACAAAGGATTGCTTGTATAGGATAGTCTTTGGTTATCTCAAGTTATTTTTCTGGTAGGCTCGGTTTGGGCCTTTTCACTTGAACATTTCATTTTCATTGCTCCTTAATAAGTTCTTTAGTCTTATTTCGAAGGCTATCTTATCATGCAAAATTCCCAAAACAATAATTTTTTATATGGTCCTGCCAATATTTTTTGCCAATCCACATGTATCTAGATATTGTTAGCTGGTCTAGCTTGACTGATTGACGAGGAATTATTTTCGTATACATAACGTTGCATCGAAATTATTCTACCTTAGGATAATGTTATTAAATTTTGTTAATAACTCCCAGGGAAGTGAGGGTTTGTTCGCTTTAATAATTTTGTAAAGAACAGAACTATCACCCCAAAGATTCCTTTTTGGTTGTGTGAAGATTTAGAAAAAGCTAGCAAGGAGTTTGAGTCTATAAGTATAGTTAATTATTGTATACCAAACCAAGGTAATTATGTATGCCTTGGACAGAAGGATTCTTCCAATTAAACATCCAGGCATAGGTTGCAATTTTAATGTTATCTTTTATTAACAAGAGGATAACTATTGCGGTCCTTTGCAAATTTCCCATAACTAATAGAACGCCTAACTTCTTACTAATTTATAGTATCTGATGGTTCTATGGTGACTAGGATGATGAACTCCTTTTACAATGTGGATAAATTACGACTGTGATGAATGAAGTTGAGGATTACGATGGACCCTTCTCATATCATATTACATTTTCTTAATGCTGAAATCTTTCATCTCTTTAAACCTGAGAAATACTGAACTTTTTTGCAAACCTAACTGATGCTTTATTTTCTATATATGTATTTTGTTTTTTGCATATTTTAAAGAATTAGAGACTCTTTTTATTATCACTCATTTTGAGTTTGTGAAATCGAATGAATCATCTGTATCATATGAAAATTGCATGGAGTTTTTGATAGCTAAAGTTCCATGAAAATTTCATTTTAAACTAACCCAGCAATCCAATTATTCTGTAATGTCTTGCTAAAAGTAGTTCTACTCAATTTTTTTAGTTTAGAAGTAAACTGAGTACACTTTTTGAAGCAGTTTTAGGTTCTAACATCATTTATCTTTTGAAGTATTTTGTTAAAACTTAAATATTCGTGTTTGTTTTTGTTCTTATATTTTCAATCATTTTGTAAGTTCAAAATTTTTCAGGTTCTTTATGATATTGGTGTTGTTTCTACCAAAGAGCCCTTTCATTGCCTTATAAATCAAGGTTTGATACTTGGAGAAGTAAGTTGGATAGATAAGTTATATTAGCAATGTCAAATCTATTTTCATGAGCCCTCATAGATTTCATTTGCAGATTGAGTATACAGCATATAAAGACAAAGATGGGAAATTAGTGTCTGCTGATTCTGATTTGAATCCTAGTGATCATATACAAGATAAAATATCTGCCGAAAAGGTATTATGCTGTTTAAGTATAACCATATCCATCAAGAGATGTATGTGAAGATGACCATCTGTCTGCTTTAGTTTGCTCTTTTTTATTCTTTTTCAGAAGCTATAGAAAAAAATGATGACTTCGTTTTACAATATTAGTATTGGAGTTTCCTGAAATTTATTTAGGTAATCAAAATTGGTGACTTCCATGTGCTGAAGGATAATACAAATATCCGATTGACTTCTAGAGCTTATAAAATGAGCAAAAGCAGAGGGAATGTCATAAACCCAGATGATGTTGTTTCTGAATATGGTGCAGATTCCCTTCGCTTGTATGAAATGTTCATGGGCCCTTTAAGGCAAGCTCTTGCGAGATTGTTCAACATGATGGAACATTTATTTGAACAAGCTTGATGATGTAGTAGTGCCAACCTGTATACTTTAGTTGCATGCAGAGATTCAAAATCATGGAGCACTGGTGGGATTGAAGGAGTTCATCGGTTTTTGGCAAGGACTTGGAGGTTGATTGTGGGCGCTCCTTTGCTCACTGGGTTGTATAAAGATGGAACAGTTGTTACTGATGATGAGCCTACTTTGGACCAGCTCCAATCTCTTCATAGATGTATTGCAAAGGTTAGTTTCTTCTTGGATTTTGCTAAATTCATGTGGCTTGGATAATCTGAAACTCAACCTTTTTCTTGGGGAATTTCACTTTCACGTATCTTGATTTTGAAAGAATTCCTGGATTTCCTTAAAAAGCTAACCCTATTTCATAATCATACAGATTTTTAAAAATGTTGGAGGAAATCAATTAGTATGTGTTGCTCAGATAATGTGTTTTTTTCTTCTTTCTAGGGTTAAAACAGTTTATCTTTTTAGTTGGTTGGTGTAATTACCATTTTGTCTGTCCATTTTCTCTTTTTTTTTTCTTGGGGTGAGGGAAGTACTTTTGAAGTAATTTTAGAAGTTATTTATATTTATTTTGTTGCATTTCCTGATATTCTTTTCTTATTATTTCCTACTTTATGTCTTTCCTTTCTTTTTTTAGTATTATTATGAGAGATTTAGTTATTATATCTTTCCTTTTTTATACCCCTCGTATCATGTATTTATATCCCTTTTGATATTAATAATATCATCTTGCTTTATTCCTAAAAGCTACATGGTATTAGAGCCACGAGATCTTTACCCTTGTCGCTAGTATTTTTTACCCTAGCACCCGGAACCTCCCTTACAGTTTATTTATGGCAGTCAGACCTCCTTTCCCTGCCGGATTCTTTGTAGTTTTCTGCAGTTTTTTTTCCCATCGTTGAACGTTCTTACTGTAGGTTGTACCACAACAGTTTTCTTCTGCTGGACGTTCTTCACGTCGATGCAGATTTCTGCAGTTTTGCCCCTTTCCTACAAGTTCGTCGGAGGCCAGTTCGCCTTCTTGCCAACTGTATCCTCCATTGGAGATCCTCTTGTGCTGACAGCCTAATAAGGCACTATCTCGATATGTTTCTTGGCATACGAACCTCACCTTTGGCTCAATCGGAACCATGGAGAACTCCACCATTGAGCTTCCTTCTTACAGTGTTCTTCCGGAGAATTGACACCTACCTCTATCTCTCCGCAAAATGGATGACATAAAAAGCACATGAACTTCTTGAGTACAACCTGCAAACTCAATGCTTCTAATTTCCTTCAATAGTCTCAAGCAGTGTCGTTCATGAATTCGGGGTAAATTGGACCACCTTATAGGTACGATTCGTGAACCTTCGAAGACTGACTTAGTGTATGCAGCATGGAAAGTAGAGAACTCCATGGTTATATTATGACTGATTTTTCCATTGAGATCTCGATTGGCCATTTTACCGATTTCTTCCGTATGCAAGTGTCCTCTTGTCTACGGTTACTGATACCTACTCGGACGCAAACAATTTTGTACTACTCTACGAGATGTTGAATAAGATCTACAAGACGAAATAGGGGTCGATGACAGTAGCAGTGCTAAAATGACTTGTTTGCCTTGAATGTGACCTCTACTGCGACTACACTTGACTCTCCCGCAAATCTTTCCCTCTTCCAAAAATTTCTGAAAAAGGATCATGTGTTTCAATTTCTGGCAAGCCTGAATAAGGATCTTGACGAAGTCCATGGCCATAATTGGTCGTGATTATTTTTCTTCAACCTGAGCAATATTCACAGAGGTTCGTGGAGAAGAAAGTCAGAGACTTGTCATGCTCTACAACCCTACTATTTAGCCGAGTCTCCAACAGTGCTCCACATTCTGCCATGTCGTCACGTGCTAATCACTCCACATGTGATTTCTGTCACAACCTACCATACCTGTGACAAGTGTTGGAAGCTCAATTGCAAGTTTACCAATAAATCTTCAACTAAAATAATCCACAACTATTCAACTGACCACCACTCGGACCATCCCTGGATCATCAGAATTCATGAAGAATCATATGGAACACTTAATTAAGTTGCTTAGTTCTAGTCAATTCTCTTTTGGCCCGTAAACCTTCCATGTTCGTTAAGGTAACCTTTCTATGACACTCTCTGGTTCTTTTTCTTATCTGGAGATTATTGATTCAAGTGTCACGGACCACATGATCGGGTGCTCTCAAATCTTATCGACATATTTTTCTTGCTCAGAGCGAGACTATTAAAATTATCGATCATTTCTATAATTGTGTTGTGGGTAAAGGGTAGGTTCTATTAACAGTGGGACTAACTCTAGGATCTGTATTACATGTACCTTTACTTAAGTGTAACATCTTATCAGTCAGTCAGTTGAAACATGACTTTGATTGTGTTGTTAATTTTTATTCTGTTTGTCTTTCAGGATTGTTGTTTGGGGAGGATGATTGGAAATTCTAAGCGTGTTGGCGGGTTCTACTTCTTCTAAGAAAATGATATGGATGATGTAGACACTCAATCTTCTAGTTGTAGTTTTTGTCTCAACTTTTTGTTCAATTATGTTTAGACATTGTCACTTGGGTCATCTCAGTTTTCACTAATTAAAAAAATTGTACTCTCTGATGTTTATTGATAAGAATCCATCTACTTTTAAATGTAGAATTTGTCATTTAGCTGACACCGTGTTCCATGTCCACCCTAATATTACACTTATTTCTGTCCATTTTCACTAATTGATAGTGATTTATGGGGAACTTCTCGAACTACAAGCTACACCAATAAATGGTGTTTCCTTACTCTAGTTGATGACCACTCGTATGATGTGGATCTATATATTAAAGGACAAATCTTAAGTTGTAGTCACCTTCAAAAACTTCCATTCCTTTTTTTGACTCAATTCAAAACCTCCATTCAAGTTATTCGGGCCGATAATGGCTGGGAGTACTTTAACTCTATTTTAGAAGAATTCTTGATGAGTAATGACATCCTTCATTATAGCTCTTGTAGGGATACCCCTCAACAAAATGGGATTGTCAAGAAAAAAGCGGATACGTTCTCGAAGTGAATCATTCCATTATATTTCAAACTAATGTCCTTGAATGATTTTTGAATAACGTCGTCCTTATACCGTCACATATCTTATTAACAGAGTTCTCACGAAAATTTACAATTTTCGGACCCTGCTATCCATATTTTTGTCGTGTTTTCTTACCAATTGGTTTTTTACCACATTAGATCCCAAAATATTTGGATGCATAACTTCTATTCAGAACGTTGCACCAACTCGAAATAAACTTGATTCTGCTCTATTAATTGTGTTCCTCGGTTATTGGGCCACTTAAAAGGCTATAGGTGTTTTGATCTTAACACTAGTAAAATTCATGTGAGCGTTGATGTCACCTTTTTTAAAAATATCCCCTACTTACCTAACACTGCCTCGAGTGAGCGGGAGCTAGATTTTCTGGAGAGTTTCTTTTTTCTGACTCCATTGGATATTATACCTACTCTTACAGTCACTGTGTTCGAGAAATACTCAGTCCAACTTGATCCCTCGCCAACCAGAGCAACACCACCTGCATCCACTCTACATGTTTATACTCGGCATACCAAACCCACGATTGAGACTCGTCCTAATGCCCCTACACTCAAGCCCGCCGCCCCGCTATTGGTCTTGAAATCCATTCCGGCCGACATCCAACTTATGGGGATCACTCATACTCTGAATGAGGAGTTGAATTCCTTCGTCGAGATTGCCAAACAAGCATGCACTCTTTTTCCCTTGGCAAAATATGTCTCATTCCACGACTTATCTCTGAGTTACGAAGCCTTTGCCACTTCCTTGATGGATTTTTGTCTCTCATCACTATTGAGGCAGCATGGTTGACCCATCCCGCAGGTCTACAGTCATGGACAAGATGAATGCCCTTTGGCGCAACCATATGTAGGATGTTGTCGACCTTTCTTGAGGTAAGAAAGCAGTAGATTGCACGTGGATTTTCAGCACCAAATTTAACTATGATGGATCTTTTGAATGCAACAAAGTGCAGTTGGTTGCCAAAGGCTATTCACAAACCTATGTAGTTGACTATGAAGAGACATTTGCTCTGGTGACTAAACTAAATATCATTCGGATTCAGTTATCTCTTGTCATGAATCTTGATTGGTCATTGTTGACCTCAATTTTTCGTGAGGTCTAGTATTCCTCGTAGGAGTTAGGATCTAGCCTTAGGGGTCTTCCTGCGACTATCTTAGAACCTTAGAAGTGGGACCCGTCTCGTTTTAGTTCGACCTATTTCCGTCCTCTTTTGGAGTTTTGCGTGTGCGGTATCGACTTCTAACACTTAGAAGGATGAAACCGACATGAGGAAACCCAAAATGGATTCCTATAGAACCTTCCCGAGCCTTAGGGTGGCCTTCTGCACAATTCGCACTCCCACAATTCGCACTCTTGTGCGCACCAGCTTCGCAATTCGGAGAGTCGACGTGTCCGATCGCCGCAATTCGCATTGTCTTTTCTGTTACTTGTCGAATGCTCGAGTAAACCTTTTGGGGCGATCGATCGCGGGTCGAAATTTTGTGAAATTTGAATTTCGACGCGTTTTGACCCGATTGTCGACGACGTCGTCCAAGCAACCCCGGATGACGAAACGGACTACGCCAACGCGTCCAGAACGTCGATTTTGCCTAGGGAGGACACCCATTTTGTCGCGTCGTCGCGCGCAAATAAATCGTTTTAATATATATCTATATATATATATATTTGATA